ATCTAAATGGAGAGAAGTACTCTTTTGAAAAAGATACACATGCCTTCTTTGTTTTTATCTTTTTCTTCTATCGTAATATATAAAATAAACCTCATTTTATCTTCAAAATTTTTTGAAAAGAAACTTTCTCCAAAGGGGAAAGGATGAAAACCCCCCCATAAATGCATATTAAAATATATAATTAAGAAAGTAATTATAGTGAAAGGTAAAAAGTTAACTAATTAAAACATAACATTTTTTGAATATATATATAAATTCAACAACTTTTAGTACTATAAAAGTTCAATGCAACTTAGTTTATAGATGTTTTATAATGTTTTTATCCTTTGAAACTGAATACTGCAACTCATAATTATAACTGATAAGCGATCTAGAAAAAATAAATTAAACCTCTAAAATTAAGATTAAGCAGGGAAAGGGAAATAAGACTTAGGAAAAGAAAGAGAAGATAATACACATATATACATTTCTTTAGCTGATACTAAGCCACCTCTTTTTTCTGATTAGAAACCATTCTTAAGCAAATTCTAGCAGAATACATAAACTTAAATAATGATAATCAATAATCATTTTTAATTTTGAAGTACCATAAGGAAAAATACTCCTAATTTTTAATAATCAGTCAAGATATTTAATTTTGATATGTTCCATTTTTCTAACCAACAAATATATAAGAAAGCACCTTTTCCTTTTTTCCAAAAGTATGTTGTTGTCGTTGCTCGGACTCTTCAAAATTATAAATGGGTATTCTTCAAAAATTATATATATAATCAAAAGTGAAGAATCCATACAACTTAAGCAATTTTTTGAATTCCTCCGACATGATTCTCTTAATTAACTACTCAAATACAATATATAAATTTGAAACTGGAACATTTGAAGTTCTAAACATATAAACTATTAAAAGATTTACTCAACATAACTGTACTTCATAATACTTTTCTGCAGATATTGGCCATATTTTTGAGCATGGAAAGCATTCATCTCTGGATGAGTACTTTTTTGATGTCATTCTGCTGATATTGATATTTCATTAGTTACAACAACAATGACGACAACAACAAAAGTTAGCTTCCTGCTAATTGCAAATGCAAAAAAAAAAAGGTCAAAGAATGAGCTATGTATATGTATAGCTTCAATCAGCGGATCATCTTCCTTCCTTTTCATGTTTCTACAAAACACAAATTCCACTCACAACAGTATATGTATTGTCATTTTAATCAAATATTTTGGCATACTCTTATATGATTGTAAAACCATACTTTTTTCTTCATTAAGTTTAGAAAATTGAAAGAGCATGAGTTACATAAAATTTATTACAGTTTTAATTTGGAAAATGAAAAGTTTTGAAACTGAAGTTTTTCATCTTTAATTTCAATTTCTCCGTTATCCTTCCTATTTTTTAAATTTGTTTAATTATTATTATTAACTCATGAGATATAATTAGATGTAATGTAATAAATATATGTTTAAAAAAATTAGTAATAATTAAACAAATTAATAATGAAAATAATGAGAGGATTTTTTTTTAAAAGAGAAGATTAAAATAAATATTTTTCTAGGTCATAGAGGTGCCACATTAAATTAATATGGTTGTTATAAAATTTAATGAAACTTAATAAATATGATAGAATATAATTAATTATTTAATTAGAAAAGAAAAGAAAAAGATAAATTACAATGGTGACTTTAGAGAGGTGCAACATCATTCTTGTCTACATTTGACTTTATATTATACATAGATATACACGTTATGAGACTAACGAAAAACGTTAGAAATATTGGATAAAGTTGAATTTTTTCTTCCACTAAACCTACTTTAGTTACTTACTAGAGTAGTGACTTATTTTGGTCACTTTTATTTTTTTATGGCTTATTTAGGTTCCGAACTCTACTTGTATCAATAAAGTTTACTATTCATATTCAAAAGATCAAAAAATGAAGAGAAAGTACTACTATTTAGGTTAAGCATACGACTGAAGTAGCATGATTAGACCTTCTTATCACTTTTTCGACTAGCTATAAACTTCAACCCCCCTTCTCTTACTTAGATGGAGAAATAAGTAAGCAAGACTTTCTATCCTGCCTTTCTTTTCTTAAAAAATGGCGAATTACACCGAATTTTGCCTTCAACCAAGCCTTTCCGTTCCGAAATCGAGAAAGATCACTCTGAAAAGTAAGCCCTTTCTTATTATACGATATCTATTTGATTAGCTAACTCTGTTTTGGAAAGCGACTAGTCAATATAATTGAGGAATCAAATGATTTTCTGCTGCTATTTTTCACATTACATTGAATTGGTAAGTAAGAAAAAGCAGGACATCGTGTTTTCTTCATCAAATTAACTCCCTATACACATAGCCTGCGACTATAAAGGCTATCAATCAATTGAAACAAGGAAATGGAGTTGGTTGGCCTTGCTGAAAACTATGGTTATTAATGTTGCCTTTTTCTCTTGCTTCAAATATCATCAAATGCAAACTTCTTCTTTTTTAATTAAAAATTTTATGTTTAAATTTTGGGTATAATTTTTTTAATAGGGAGCATTTTCTCGAATAAGGTTCTATTCAAACGAGAAAAAAAAAAACAACTATGTAATTAGGAGTCGTTTGTCTATGAATTTTTTAAATATTGCCCAACTTATTGATTTTATTATAAAAATAATTAGTTTAAAATTTGAAAAAAAAAAGTGAAAATTAAATTTCACTCACATTTTCTTAAATTTACTTTAAGTTAAACATATGTCCAAACCAAATTTCAATTTGCACATTCAATCTTTTTCCCAACTTCAAATCGGAGTTCTACTTTTTTCTTTTTTGAATATTACATTTTTTATGTCACAAATTTAATCAATTTTAAAATTTATCATAGTTGCTTCAATAAATGATCTAAAAATTTACAAGAAATATATGGTTACTTTACGATATTTTGAAATATATATATCTAAAACCTTATTATGCATACACTCTGTCTTACTGTGCCACTTTTTTGTTTACGGAGAGTCATCACTCATCAACTTAAATAATCTTTAAAATTAAATTAAATTAAATCAACTTCATAAATTCTGAGTAGTTATTTCGGACCAGAAATGGTAAGGGCATCTCCAACCCAAACATCAAATTTTACACCTAATACTATTTTTGGTGTAATCAACTCCAACCCACTGCACCAAATTTTACACCAAAAGTGAATATTTTTTTTCTTCATTATTATATTATTATTTCTTATTTCATTTATATTTTCTTATTTCATAAAACAAATTCTTTCTAAAACATTCACCATATATAATTCATATTATTTCCTTTTAAAATCGTTTAATATAAAATTATTTTGTACCATAATTTTTTAAATAATATAAATTGCTAGCAAATATTATACATTATACATAATAATGAATACAAATAAAAGTGAAATCATTAATGAAATACAATTAAATAAACATTACATAATTGAAAAAATTATTTTAAATTCTACATAAATATTCAACTTCAAGATCACTACGGTGCTCCCATAAATGCTCTATTAATGCATTTGTAGTTCAAAATGAGCTTCTTTGTCCTTTGTTTTTTTATATCAAGCTAAAAATTGTTGAAATTGATAATTTTCATCTATTACCAGTTCTACGGTCGGAGTTGGACCTTTCGACGCATCTTGAATTGGTGCATTAAGATTACGCTCATCCTCAATTATTATGTTATTATAATACATGAAGTTAATATATCATGTAGCACTTCTTTTTAAAATTACTATGTATTTTATATTTCAATTTTGATGTATGTCAATTACTACTTTGTTGAATGTTTATTACTTTTGGTTATTTTTAAGTACATTGTATTATTTGTTTAAAAATTTATATGTTTGCATTTTTTATTTTTGTGAAGGTTAATTGTAGTTTATAGTAGAATTAACATAAATTTAATTTTAAAAAAAAGTCATATATAGAAAAATTAATTTATAAAAAAGCTAAATTTTATATCTAAAATTAATATTATAAAAATATTACATAAATAATAATTAAATATAATTAAAACATACAATTTATATAATATTTAATTAAAAGTTTGTATAATGAAATAATATTTAAATATTTAAAAAGTGTATTGGTGTGATGAATAGTGTTACACCAAATATCACACACCAAATTTGGTATAAAAATTAGTGGATTAGAGCTCAAAACACCAAATTTTACACCAAATATAGAATTTGATATAAAATTTAGTATTGGATTGGAAATGGTGTAAGCAGCAACCGTGGAGTAAAGATACTTTAGAGAGAAGTAAAAAAGAGAGCAGAAATGGAACAGTGTTCGATAAAAGTGGAACGTATATACTCTCTCTGTAACTGAGCTAGTTGAAGAGCATGTCCACAATTGTGCCAGAAAGTTGGCTTCACCTGACACCGTCACGATATAAAACTACTCTCCATCTTAATTTATGTGCTTAATTTGATTCGACAAAAATATTTTTGTATCTTGTGATTTTAATTAAAAATTACGAAATCTTTTGGATCTTAAATTAGTACTACAACGGAAGTAACAATTTTCCTATCAACCCTGTCAATTTCTTTCTTTTAGTTTTAGCAGTTTACCAACTTCCCTAATGCATCAGTTCTCAGAACCAAATGAAGACCAGTCAAAGTCTAATCAAAATCAACTTGCTAGTTTACCCCTACTCTGTTTCTTTTTCTGTAATTGGAGTAATTTATTAGGTGTATATGACAAGTATATACGTTAATTCAATTGGTTTATTCACTTTAATAATGCGCATCCGCCCACTCTGGCCTATGTCTGTCTCTACTTTTAAGTTAACTAAGCATGGTATGGTTGGCTAATAAAATACACGCTCGTACGGGGCATATACCCAAAAAATGTCACCTACTCCTGGATATAAAAGAGTGTGTGCAACTGAGTTCTGCACATACAAGAAATTAACTTGTTCTGCTCAACACTGTACTTGATTTTGCTGTGATAAATCAAATATCTGCATATCTATACTATTATTATGGCGAACAACAATGTTTATCATCACAATGCTGATATTGCTTCTTTTTCTTTGAGTGATCCTGACCCTGAACCGGATGATATTTCTGTGTTTCTTCGTCATATTCTCCATCCTTCTTCGTCTTCGTCTTCGTCTTCGTCCAATTTTATGGCCCTGAAGGGTAATGAAATGCAATATTCCTCATCATTACCTCATCTTATGCCTAATAATAATCAACATTGCTATTTGTCATCCATGATGAATTCATCAGCTGGCGGCATTTTCTCTTCTTCTTATGGGGCTTATAATGGTGCAACTAATGTTTCTTCGTCATCTGTTGGGACCATGGATAATGATCCGGATGAGTATGAATGTGAAAGTGAGGTATTTCTACACTTTCTATTTAATTCGTTTAGATTAATTAGTTTATGTAAGTTTTTATTTCCGAATTTGATCATTGTCCTGGTATATTTCATTTTCCCTGTGATGTATAATAGTGATTTTTTTAATATGCAGGATGGTACTGAGGATTTGGGGGCGGAAACTTCAGTTCAACCGCCATCTCGTAACACTTCCAAGAGAAGCAGAGCAGCTGAAGTGCACAATTTGTCTGAAAAGGTTGTTTATTTTTATGATTATTATTGTCTGATTTCAGGAGTTGAACTCGCTAAGTTTAAATCTTGAATATGATTCACAGAGGAGAAGAAGCAGGATTAATGAGAAGATGAAAGCATTGCAAAAACTTATTCCAAATTCAAATAAGGTGAGGAGTTGCATATTTAGCAATTTTGAATGAGTCTTGAAATTAGGAAATCCTAGAATATAAATTTTAGCTTTTCAATACACAGTTAAAGATTTTGATTTGATTATTTTCTGATGGATTTCTGGACAGACCGACAAGGCTTCAATGCTTGATGAAGCCATTGAGTATCTTAAGCAGCTTCAGCTCCAAGTACAGGTTTGATGCTTCTGTTTTAATTTGCTGCATGTGATTTATTTGGTATGATGGGGAGTTATTTTCTGTGAATAATATTTTTAGAGAATAATGTATATTAGAGATCAACAATGGATAGAATATTGTGTTGAGTGACCCAAATGTTGTGAAATTCAAAGTTCAGATAGTTGCAACGAACATGTGGTGTTATTTGATTCATTGATCAAGGATATTTCCTAGATTGGTTCTAAATCTGGTTATCTGTTCATTTAACACTAGTTAATTCGATTAAGTTATATGATTTATAGCATAACAATGTACTTTAATATCTTTAGATGTTGACAATGAGAAACGGGTTAAACATGTATCCTCTTGGCCTGCCACGAATGCTACAACAAAATCAAATGTCCCAGCAAAAAATAGGTTTCTGCGAGGGAAAAGGATTCACAAATGCTAAAGTGGCTGGGAATCTCCAAGTAAACCAAGACGCCTCGTTAAATGCCATTTTCAATCCAACTAAAAATTGTACAGAAACTAAGCTAACACCACTGGTGACTATGTCAAATGTAAACCATTCAGACAGTGCTTTTGAGCCAGAGTCATCAATGAATATTCACCTTGATCCCTTTCAGCTCTCAAGATCTACCAGCAAGGTATGTCGGATTCATAACCTATCGGAATGCCTGCCCTTTTTACGAGGATGCAGAATTGCAGATTAAGGAATCAATTTATATAACCATCTGACATTCACATTCTGTTTGTAAAGGAAATTTGGAGGGAGGATGGCTTACCTATGTATGGAATGAATGAGCGAACAACCAAAACTGCATCAATTGGTAGATTATTTGCTTGACATCCTTGCCTAATTGACAACTTTTGCCTTGTATCCAGGTCTCTTTACCATTTTCTATTTCATTGTATCATAGGAGCCAATGTGGCATTCTCAGTTCCCTTTGATACCGATGCATCTAACCTGAAGAGAAACACTCGGGAAGCCTGCTTGCTTCGATATCAGTTTGGTGCTATGAATGAAACCAATCTGGATTGCGACCAACTTCTTTCCCCCCAACTGTATAGGTAAGTGAATTCACATTACTGATTACACCCGTGCTCTTCCATAGCAATGATTTTTTTTTAATCTTTATTCCTGAATTTCCTTGTTCTATTGTTAGTCACTTCGGAAGAAGTTCTTAAGTTGACATTATCTAAGGTGAATGCAGCAACTTCTGAAATTTTGGACTTCATCGCCCTGCTGGATTTTGTCGAAGTTATGAGACATGCATCTTGCTGCTTAGGATGTTTAATGTTGTTAACTTTTGTGCTCAAAAGCCACTGTTTTGAATGAATCACATCTGCATTGCTTCTGCGGAGAAGTTGGAATATAAATCTTGTTATGAAATAAGAAAATTACTACTAGGCGTAGAATACGTTTTGTGGTGACTATTTTCTCATATGCGTCTGACTAATCTGAGGATGGTATGATTCTACCAGAGACGGATTCAAGATTTGAATTTTATGGATTCTAACAGAAACCTCAAATTAATATCTCTATAACAATTAGGACTCACGTTCAAATATTTTACTCTTATTTAGAAATGACAGTTGGAAGGACTAACACAACATCATATAGATGTACCAAAGCTAACACAAAGTTGTATTGTATTGGGGCCCACCTCATTAAACAAGTACTACTCCCCACTCATATCAAGACACATGTACTATGTAGGGAGTTAGGAAGGACCAACAAGGACAAATATGTAATTTTTTTAAGCTTACCCCACTCATATCACAAAGACACATGTACTATGTATAACACATAGATGTTTTTTATATTATCTATGGATTGATTCATTTTCCCCTTACAGTCTTATAATTTCAAAACCGTTAAATTTCTCTTAATTTTCGAGTAAATATCTTAAAAGATCATCCAACTTTGAGAAATTATATTGTAAAATTATTCAACTTTATTTTATACTTCTTATTTATATTACTCCTTATTAGAAGTGAGACTTTAGAGGACGACACTACAAAGTTGTACACAAAACATTTCAAATTGTACTATAAAATTCATTGTCGCTCATTAATTGTACACATGTCTTTCTACATATACAACAATCCACATGAATAATTATTTTTCTGACTTTTTTTCCTCAGTTTCTCTCTCTATATATTCGTTTTTTTCTTTTTTTTTCTACTTTTCATTCTCCCCTTTTACTCTCTTTAGTTTATCTTTGATCTTAAATTTTTCATAGATCTTTAAAATATTTTGAATTATTATTTATTATGAATTATAATATTTTGATTTTTATGTAGTTTACAAATATATAAATTTCATTTTAAAAGAATTGAAGATACCATACGCAAATTTACGATCAAACTTAAACTATTTTATTCTCGAGAAATAAAAAGTGTCACATAAAATGGTACAGACGAAGGATAATTCTCAATTAAATTTATTTCACTTTTTATTTTCCATTTTTAACATAATTTTTCAAGTTGGATTTCTAGGAATTCTATTGTAGACCCATTTAAATTTTACCTTTTTGTTTTAAACTAGAGAATTTGGTCGCACTTCGCGCGATCATTAAAAATTAAATATTTTTGATTAATTTTATATTTACTCTGTTGTTTAATCGTAATATTATTGTTTGTTTTAGTACTATGAAGATTGTGAAAAAAATAAAGTTTTTCAAATTTTACATCTATTAAATGAGGAAGAATATATTTTTTATCAAATAAGTTAAAATATATTTGCTAATAACAAATTCTTCCATTGCATGAAGTTGATCTTTTAATATATAATATATATTTTCGTGTACCATTCTCCTTAAATGTCTAAGAAATATCTCGTAATGTGAAATAACACTGTAATACTCCCTCTGTCCCTAATTACTTGTCCACTTTTAAATTGACACATTTATTAAGAAATCAATTAATCACATATTGAGTTTATCATTTTACCCCTATTAATTATGAAGTAGATGAAAAGTTCTGTAATTTTCAAAGCAATTAGTGATTTAATTGAGGGTATAATAGGTAAAAAAAATTGCTCTTTCTTGATTTGTCAAAATGGACAAGTAATTAGGGACAACTATAAAAGGAAAAGTGAACAAGTAATTAGGGACAGAGGGAGTACTAAACAAATGCATCAGCAAATGAAATTTATATTAAAAATATATTGAATAATGACGTAATGATACCTTAATAGAATTTCCTATCTATTTTTTTGAAGAAAAAAAACTTCACCCTTTCAATTTTGTTATATCTTCTTATTTAGTAGAAGAATCATCATTTATTATATTCTACTCCACCTTAATTTGTACCATCAGACTTTTAAGAATAAATATTAAATTTTAAATCGAAATAAAAAATCATTGAAAAATGACAGAAAAAAAAACAATAGTATATGAAAATTAAAATAAGGTGCAAGAAAAGCCTTTTCACGATAATTTTTTGAAATATATTGATAACAATTAAAATGGAGCTGTTATTTTATCTTTAAAATTAAGTTTGATTGAATTGAATTAGTAGAATGAGAAAAAATATTAAACTAATAACTTTTTAATGTTATTAAATGCATTTTCTTTTTAATTGAGTAGTAGATTAAAAGTTTCGAATTAAGCTATTAAAATAATACCTTACTCTCTCCTTAATTATTATGGTATTGCAAACATTTATTTTCATTAAATGGTGATTCATTTTTCATTTACAGTTATATCCAATTAATTTCTAATGTATTGAATGCGGTTATGGGATATTGAAATAATATTTTTATCTTTCCTGATTCATAATAAAATTATAATTTAACATTTATTTTTCTGAAATGATAATTTTGTTTTAATTCCTAGAACATATTGTTTACTATATTGAATGTAATTATAATAAAACATATTGTATTTAGTATGATAAAAGAACTCAAAATTTTGAGAAATTAGATAAATAGTAATCTTAGCTTCTAAGAAATGTCATATCATCATTTACATATCCAACTTTATATATATATATATATATATATAATATAAAAGAGCTAAAAAAGAAAAAATAAGTGATTTAACAAAATTATATAAATAGCATTAATGATGAGATGAAGACTAAGAAAAAACGTCAAATAAAGTAATAGTATTGATGATGATAAAAGTTAAATAAATCATTTTTTCTATTATTTAAATTTTTAACATAAAATTTCCAATCTTTTAAAATTAAAAATAAATGTTAAAAATAAAAATAAAAATCGAGGCAATAATTATTTTAAAGAAAAATATAATCAAAATTGTCAGAAAAAATTGATAAGAATAAATAAGTATCTATTACTAAGAATGGTGTCACTACATTTTCTATTTTAACTTTACTGTTACATATGGATAGAAACTTTTAGAAGAAGAAATGATCCAAAAATTTAAAAATAATGATTCCTTAAATGGTGATTCCTTTTCCATTTACAGCTTTTCAATTAATTTTTAATGTATTAAATATGGTTATGGATATTGGAATAATATTTTTATCTTTCCTTAATCATAATAAATTATATTTTAACCTTTGTTTTTGTGAAATGATAATTTTCTTTTCATTCGTACAACATATTGATTAATATATTGAATGTAATTATAATAAAACATGTTGTATTTAGTATGACAAAAGAATTCAATATTTTAAAAATTAAATAAATAGTATATATATAAAAAATTACATTAATGATGAAATGAAGATTAAGGAAAGAAGTAAAAGAAATTAATAATAATATTGATGATGATAGGAGTTAAATAAATCATTTTTTATATTTTATAAATTTTCAATATAAATTTTTCAGTGTTTTAAACTTAGAAAATGCTAAAAAAAAAAAAAAAACTAAAACAAAAAATCGAGGCAACAATTATTTGAAGGAAAAAATAACAAAAAATGTCAGAAACATTGATAAGAATAAATAAATATCTATTGCTAAGAAGGTGTCACCCACATTTTCTATTTTAGCTTTATTGTTACATATAGATAGAAACTTTAAGATGAAGAATGATCCAAAAAATTTAAAAATGACAAATCAATTATGTAAAAATACATGTGTAATTCTTATAAAGTTATAATAACTAATTTCTTCAAATAAATAATTAAAAGAAAGAAGAAAATTAATTAAGAAAATAATATAAATAACACTAATTATGAGATTAATAGCATTGATGAGGTAAGGAACTAAATATGATCATCTTTTTAAATTCTTTTTTAAGAAAATATATATAAACTTTAATTAAAGATAAATAAGAAAAAAAAACTTTAATTAAAGATACAAAAAATCAAGGCAAAATAAAAGAAGAAAGAAATTTGAAGAATAATGAGGTTGAAAGAAATAATATCTATTTTTCTCTCTTTTCAAATAACAAAATAAATGTTTGCTTGTTCTCCTCCTAATTTGATACGAATTCCATAAATAGAATGATTTTTCCTCCAAATAATTTTTCTTACCCTTTGAAACACTAATCTGCCTTCTTATAAATTTCTCAACCACAATGAATTTTCTCTCCTTGTAGGAGGAATAAACATTTTTTCAAAAAGTCTTTTATTTTGAAGAGAAACTTTCATTACCTGATTTCTTTCTTTACATCAATGTTTTCACAAGAATCATGAGATATTCTCTCTTTCTCTTTTGTTAAAAAAGTCACATGACCTAGAAATTTGATGGACATCTTAGCGACATAAGTTGATACCATATATTCATCATCATCGTCAGAAGAAGAAGAGCCAAAGTGAAGAAATTTGTTCTTATTTGTTACAAATGCTCAACTATTTTTTTTTATAGGCTAAATAATTATAAACAGTTATGAAAAATGAATAGTTTTTATCTTTTCATCTTCCAATTCCATTTACTTAAATCTATATTAGTGTAATGGATGTTATAAAGGACATAATTAATTAGGTATGACATAAATACTTTCAGTTTTTTTTTTACAATATAAATAAAAAATACAAAACAAAGATAAAATGTCAAAAAAAGAAGAAAAAAGATGAATAGAAATGCTGGCCATAGAGAGGTGCTACAATATTGTCTATATTCAACTTTATATATATATATATATATATATATATATATATATATATATATATATATATATATATATAGGTTCATGCCCTTAGATGTTATTTTATTACTTTAGTTGGCATCGACATTTTTGTAAATCTGATATCTACTTTAGAACATTTTATAA